TGTTAAGATTAGCTTTATAGTCAGCTTAGACAAGAAGGTGTTGATTTGTCAGAACATGTGAATTTTGAAGTTATTTTTAGTAGTTTTTAACCTTTTTCTGTTTGGGGAAACAATTGCCATCCTGCTGTGATTTACCTGCCACCTACAGGACATTTTTTTAACAGTGTTATAGTCTACAGATTGATTTGCAAATGTGAAAAACAGACATCTTCAGTTATTCCATGTGTAGATCCCTTGTTTTATTTTCAAGATTGTATAAATAGCCCTTTAATGGACGTATTTACCATAATGAAATTGGTTCCTTTAGCATCATCTTATAATGGCTTCATCAAAATATAAATGATCAAATATGGAAAGTGGGGGAGGTAGGTCCTATTTTGTTTTCCCTCTAGGACTAGCAAAATAAAAATAAACCTAGAAAATTTTTAAGTTTGTTTGTTTTTAAAGAAATGATGTGAAAATTAAACTATCTGGCATAAAAGTTAGGAAATTTGTTCCTAAAATCTTTATATAAGAGCACTGCTGAAGGAGTCTCTCTAAATTCATTAATCTTCAGCATTCTTTTTTTTTTTATTTTGAATTCCGAATTCTCTTTCCCCCTCCAGTCCTTCTACCACCCATTGAGAAGGCAAGCCATGTGATATCAATTATACATGTAAAATCATGGACAACATATTTCCATATTAGCTCTGTTGCAAAAAAAAAAAAAAAAGGTAAGAAAAATAAAAGAAAGTGAAAACATTATATTTAAATTTGCATTCTGTTTTCACATCAGTTCTCTCTCAGGAGGTAGATAGCATTTTTCATCATGAGTCCTTCAGGATTGTCTTAGATCATTGTATTGATCAGAGTCTAAATCTTTCACAATTGATTATCATTATATTATTGCCGTTACTATGTACATTGATCTGGTTCTGCTTACTTCATTTTGCTTCACTTCATATAAGTTGAAGGACACATTCTTTTGAGCATCCATTTTACATTTGTTTTGATAATAGACATTTAGGAAGTAAACTACAGTGAGAAATAGCACGCACACACACACACCACACCAAAGTGGTCCATGCATAGATTCCAAAGGATCCATGAATGTGAATGGGATAAAAATGATATCATGATATCTTTATGTTCACTTACCTCTCAATGAAATTTAACATTTCCTTCAATTATTTAAAAACATTCTGAGAAAGGGTCGCTAGTCTTCATCAGACTGCCAAAAGGATTCATGACACAGAAAAAGGTTAATCCCTGTTTTAGGAAGATATGTCATTGTATATAGTCTATTGACTGAAGTTTTGGAAGCTATAGAAAAATAAGTATGAGCCACATTCAAAGCAGCCTTGAATTTCTTGCCTTTCAATCTCAGTCTGTGTGTGTCTGTTTTGTCTCTGCCTGTCTCTTTCCCTCTGTTTTTCTTTCCAATTGTGGAAGCCTGTCAGTAATTTCTTGTGCTTTTTACCATCTATAATAGGTAGCTAAGTTAACATGAACAATTAAACTGACCAGTGTGAAGTATCTAGAAATGGAAGATATATATAAACATTAGCAGAATCATGAAGCACTTAAACTAGAAGTATCCAGCATCTGAACCTTTTCTTAATTGAGCAGCCTAGTAGAAGTTCTGAAAAAGGCAGCCTACAGACTGGAGGCAGATTCAAAGAAACCAGAACCAAAATATAAGAAGGAAGAGAAGTGATGAGAGAATTCTTTAGCGTCTTCTCTGCCTACAAGAATGATTCCTAAGAGCTAGAATATGTCAGATGGAATGTACCAAACTTCTGTTTTTCAATCCCATTAAAAAAAAAAAAGAGCAATGCTGCTGGTCCCAGGAGAAGGCCCAGCCCAGGGTTTGGTTGGAGATCATGATTGTGGCTGCCCTTTGGTGTGTTTCTACAACTGTGTCCCACTGCACTTCACATAATGTACCCAGGACAAAGGCTCAGAATTTAGAATCAACATTATGAGAGGATCTGGTCTTCCTGTCTGTTTCAGGACTAGTATACTACTTTTTCTCACCTTACAAGTTGATCTTTGATGGTCTTCATAAACAGTTTAAATCTTGTTCTTAATATTGTTAAGCTATGTTGATGATATATTCTTGGATTTAAAGAAATAAAACTCCAACTTGTAACTCTGTCTTTTGAAGAGAGTGTGTGTGTGTGTGTACATTTAAGTTATTATCTCGTATTATCAGAGAGATAGTATAATGTAATGGATATATAACTAGACTCAGAGTTAAGAAGACCTGAGTTCTAACCCCACACAAACCACATAACCTTTCAGTGCCTTCTGAGGTGCAGAGTGTATGATCTGCATGATTAGAGTTTCCTCACCAGAAATTCCATGTCCTAATGAAATCGCTGGTGTAGTCTAAACAAAAATCTACCTCTCTTCGCTCTACCTACTTCTCCCCATCTTCACTCCTTCCTTCCCCGACAGAAAATCAACCAAATGGAACCAAGGGCACATTGTCTTCAGGCTTGGATATTGAATAAGAATGATTGTTGATATATTTTTCTTCAGACCATAACATCTGTGCTTTCATTGTTATTAATACTCCTTCCACTGATTTGGATCTCAGCCCCTACACAGTTCATAGCTCAGCTTCTGCAACCAGTCATATTTGTACTGTCTTCCTCATAGAGTTGTTATGAGCAAAGTTCTGTTATTAATCTAGCTTAAAAGGGACTACTGGGGCTCATGCCCTGCTGGTGTAGATTTTAAGAATCCTCTACTGCCAGCCAGTTATTAGAGTAAGACTTCAGATGACAACTTCTAGGTGTTCATATCATGGATTGATATTAAGGACACTTAAAGAGCTGCTAATAGCAGCTAACCATAATAGGTTTTGGCAGCAACCTCACCTGGAGAAAATGTCATTTTTCACTTTTTGCCATGATTTGTTTTCATTTGAGTAACTGAGATTTGGTTAATTTGTTCTCCTTTGTGAATACATATGTGGATACTTTTATGTAGAATGGAAAGAGTATTGACCATAGCACTTGTAGTCAGGCTTTCTGGTATAGAGTAAGAGCATTGATTTGGTGTCAGAAGGCCGGGGTTTGAGTCATCACTCTGATGCAGTAGCCGTGAGATTTTGGACAAATCAAGTCAGTTCTCTGGCCCTTAGTTTCCCCACCTGTAAAATGAGGTCATTTTGTGTTTCTTCACCATTTAAAACCAAGCAACAGATCCTCCATTTTCATAAGCACATCTCAACATGCAGCAGGCCCTAGGTTAAATCACCAGGTAAAAAAATCTATCTCTACATTTCAGTTTGTTTTCTCCTCCCACCAGGGCACCCAGTGACAGTGTTCTGGTTGACTAAAACCATCTTTGTGGTACCTGATATGGACTTGTTCAACCCAAGCCTAGACTTCCTATATCTAAATCCCATAGATTTAGAGGTGGAAAAGGCCCTTGGAAGTATCTAGACTAATCCTTTCATTTTGCAAATGCATAAGCAAAAGCCTAGATAGGTTGAATGACTTGGCTAAAGTTACTAGGTAATAATTATTACAGGCAAGATTTAAGCCAAGGTCCTGAACCCAAATTCAACATTCATTCCCCTATACTGTATGGCCTTTCAAGTGTGGTTTTCTGCTAAATAACATAGTACAAATCTGATAGCATGGATTTATAAAGGGGCCTTCTGGGAGGAATTTTTAGTACCATTAAGAAGAGATAGGTTGGAGTTAGGGAGGGCATTTGAGAGCAAGTAGACTCAAGAATTTGACACTCGAATAATATTTCCACCTAAAGGTAAAGCCATTTATAGTAAAATGAATTGAATTACTTTTTTCATAGGCACTTCCTTCCCATCTACTATTATAATATTTTTATCAGGGAAATAGCTCCTTTAAAAACCATAAGAACTAATGTCCCCTTTGTTTCTTTGTTGACATCCCATCCCTTCCAGTACCTAAGTCGTGGGGGTGGAGAGTGCTTATTAAATGTTTGAATGGGAAAAAAAATAGGATACCATCTTCCCCTACTTATCTCACTTAGATGAGGATTTCATGACATAATATCATGTTGGGTTAAAGAATCTTTTTTTTTTTAAACAACCATTGACCCATAGAAATCAGTGGTTCAAATAAAAAGACACATGGTTTAGCATTTTGAGAGAGAAAACACAAAATGTATTTCACCACCTTTTAAAATTAAGAGCAAGGAGTACAAGCTCTTAAATATATATCCTCTGCTGTAATCAAGCTTGATATGTTTAAAGAAGTATCTAAAGTTTTAGGAATCTACCCTGGAAAGGTATATTGATATCCCTTTGATACTAAAACATTGATTGCCTATTATATAATGGGCAAATGTGGGTTACATTTGGCATTAGCATCTACTTTAGATCATAGGATCATAAATATCAAGACTGAAGAAACCTCACAGACCATCTAATCTGGTCTCCTCATTTTACAGATAAGCAAACTGACACCCAGGGGAGTTGAGTGAACAAAAAATTTTGTCACACCAAGGCACTAAGCATCACAGGCAGGTTTGAACCCGGGTCCTCTGCCCCTAGAGCCAGTGATTTTTCCCCTGTAATCTATACAACATTGTTCTGAACTTCCCTTCTTCCAAATGAAATAACGTTTTTTGTTCTCATTGATTCCTAGTGGAAACCAATGGGAAAACCTTAAGGAATAAAAGAGTTTAACAACTGTTCAGTAGCCTTCCATTTTTAAAGAAATTTCGGTGGTCTCACTTACTCTGGCAATAGTCCATCTGGAGGAATGTTATCCTGTGTGTCACACCTGAATTATTTGCCTAGGTGGGCTCTGTCCTTAGGGGTGAAAAATTTCTACCCTGATCCTTACAGAGAAGTATGAAGAGGAGGAATGCTTTCTGCACTTGTGAAGTATTAACTGATCAAAAACATTGTTGTTACCTAATGAGATATAAAGACTCTGAATTTGAAACACAAATGACTAAAATGTGGTATATGTTAATTCTGCTAATATTTGCTTTGTGCTTTTGTTCTTTCTTTCTAGGTCTGCGAGGGCTAATCAATCTTGGGAACACGTGTTTTATGAACTGTATCGTCCAAGCACTTACCCACACTCCACTACTGCGAGATTTCTTCCTTTCTGACAGGCACAAATGTGAAATGCAAAGTCCCAGCTCGTGTCTGGTTTGTGAAATGTCTACGCTTTTTCAGGAGGTGAGTGAAGTTTTATGTAACTCCAGCAGTATTGCAGCATAATGCTGTCTTTTTATAAAGATAACAGACTCAAAAGAAAAGGATACCTACATGAGAAATGTCATTAATTTCACCTCAATTCCCTGAAACTTGTATAATAACTGAATAGTACATAGTACATATAGATTATGTACTATTATACATACTATTATGTATAATAGTACATTTTAGATAATGCCCCCCCTTTTTTTATTGAATTTTTAGATTTGTAGACTTTGTGCATAACTCTTAGGTTACATATGAGTACTTTGTCATAGACTTTGGCAGTGGGAATATGAACTCCTGAGAGCTTACTGCAGAAGATTGACTTTGTAGTGTAGGGTACTAGGTTACCTTAGTTTCTGTAAATACTGCAAGTAATTAATTATTCCATTCATTATCATCCTTATTCATAGCAAAAGCATCCTAATAGAAGAAAAATAGGACACAGTAGAGCCATGTATTGATTATGGACATACTGCAGTCAGGAGCTCCTTTTCAGTGAAAGCAGATCTTGCCTCTGCATTATTTCCAACCCCTCCTCAATGTGTTTAATCTTTGCCTTGCAGATAGACACCAAAAGCTGCTGTTTTTGTGATTCATTGCACTGAAGGAGCACATTGCATGAAGAATGCAATTTAGGGCAGGCTAGATCCTAGTCACCTGATTGGATTGTGGGCTGCTTCTTTTTTAAGCCTTTAGACATTTATTTTCTTTATCCAACTTTCTTTACCAGCCTCCCTGTTTTTGTTTTTTCTCTTTGTGTCTACAGAGCAAGAAAGATCAGTTCTCACTCAGTTGTCTGTATGTTCTTCGTTTAAATGCATAATTTGTGTTTTTGCAGAGCGTCTGTATGTTGCTTTTCAAATGGCCTGTATTCATACTTTATTTTCCAGGCCATTGATAGGGCTTGTGAGAACATTTAATGACTTTGCCTTTACGTACTATTCTTTGTTGTCGCATGAAAGAAGTCCAAGCGTATTAAAAAATCATTGTTCCTTCTTATTGCTTTTGAGATTAATAACCTCCAGAGTTGTTCTTGGAGGGTTAGAAAGAGAGACAGGAAAATCCAGCAGGTAAACAGTACAGAGTTATTTTTGCTGGGTGCACTGCTCCTGAGTCAGACAAGTTTGCTAGTATTGAAAAAGACATACTATTGGCCATTAGGGATATGGCCCAGAATGACCAGTGTGGAAGTCAGAACTTTTCATCTTGCCAGCAGCTGGACTTTCAGATTCCCCATTTCTGTTATCCAGGGTGGGGGAAGTCTTCCCTGTTTTCTTGCTCTTTCAGATTATGTCAGGGAGAATAACAGTTACATTTACAAAGCATTCTTTGTACCAGATTTGTGATTTCATTCCTTCCACTGAGGACTTTGTACCAGTGCAGATCATTCCCTTCTTTGCAGAAGGGTCTGGACTGAGTGCATCAGGTGGCTTGTTGCTCCGACGCCAGCTCTGTCTCCTGCGTTCTGTTGGATGTAGCACTTTGTTCACAATAACTCTGTGAGAAAATCGTTTCCCCCGTTTTACAGATGACGCAACCGTGACTCAGGTTAAATGATTTGCTCAAAGTCACCAAGGCCAGGTCCTCCAGGTGTTTACTCAGGAGCGTCATCTTTGTACACATATCATCTTCAGGTCATAGAACTAAAGGGAAAAGACCTCAAACAAGAGAGGCCGAGAATCCCCTCTGAGTGATGAGTGGTCATCCCTGAAAACCCTCCACTGAAAGGACCACACCTTGCCAAAATAACCTCACTTTGGGGTGGCTTGGTTAGTGAGAAGCTTTTTCCTTATATTAACTAATGTCATCTCTAGGCAGCTTCTACTCATTTCTCCTATTCAGCTTCCTGGGACCAAGAAGAGCAAACCTAGTCGCGGTCCTTCTTCGGCCTGAGAGCCCTTTGGGTCTGTTTAGACTAAATGTCCCTAGTGCCTTCAACTAGTCTTTGTGCTTCGTGTCATGTTCTTTACTCCTCTCACCATCCCAGTTTCACTCTTCTGGACATACTTCAACTTGGCTGTGTCCTTTTTAAAATGTTGTACCCATGACTAAATAACATAATCTCGATATGGTTTGGCCAAGGCTAAATGTGATGGAATTATTTCCTCCATCATTCTGAGCTCTTCCTCTCATAATACAGTCAGGGATATAGGTACTTGTAAAGAATTTGTGATTTTGTCACTAGAGGGAACTTCCGTCATGGTGATTCACTTGTGCAGCTTGCATCACACTCGGTCTGTGACTTAGCACAATCCTAGGAAATTGTCTAAAACACACAGAGGTGAAGTAATTTCTTCAGGGTCACCCAGCTTGTCTTGTGGATTGGAATCCGGGTCTTTCTGACTCCAAACCTCAGCCCTCTGTCTTCTACACCATGCTACCTCAGACGCCATTAGCTTTTTTTTTCACTACTTCCTGGAAGTTGGAAATGTAAGTAGTTGGTAGGCCATTTCTTGTGATACAAATGCTGCAACCACTCAGTGCCTCCCCTTTGTCCTTGCTGAAAGTAGCCTTTCTTTAGGAATATTCCATGGGAAATTCTATCCCTTCTTTTATCACTTAAATATTTTTGCACATCACACATAATTAAAGACTGTAGGTTAATAATTTAAAATAAATTATGATAAGCCTTTGAGTTTTGTCGTCTTGCCTCCTAATTGTTTTTATTTGAACTTTTAAAGAGTGAACAGAACCATAGATTATAGTCCATATTTGTCTCTTTCTTTAATTTGTAGCCTCTAAATCTGTATGCTTAGTCAGAGATGCAGTGGGAAGAATTACATTTATATTGTGTGAGCTGTCTTTCTCAGCCTGAAACATTTCCAAGCCAGGCCAGGATAATGTGCTCTGCTGTGTTGAATCATAATATCCTTTAAAATCCCAGATTTAGCTGCCTTTTTATGTCTTCGCCCGTTTCTGGAGAGACTTCCTCTCTTAAATGCCCTTAAAGTGCTCAAGGGGCCAAATAAACCATCCTGAACCAGCAGACCATTGTGTATATTTGGTCAGCAGTGTGGAGAAATCTGCTGGGGGCTGTTTTCTTCCCCACTTCCAGGCTCTGACTTAGATCTCAGCTTGAAAAGACCATTTGATGTGAAGGCTGAAGGCAGTGGCTTGGTGACCCCATTCCAACTTCTTAAAAGACAAAGCATTCTCTTAGTTGGGAAATGCCAACAGTTGAGCTCTTGATCACAGAAGGGGAAAGAAAGTTTATAATTATGACCCTTACACCTCATGATTGCAATATGATTCAGAATCAGAATATTAGTATTCAAAGAGACATTAGGACTCTTTTGGTCCAACCTGTGCCTGAATAGATCCCATCTTGAAGAACTCCAGTAATGAAGAATTCATTTCCTTTCTGGTGATCTGTTTCTTTCTTGAATGTTCTAATTGTTAAGAAATGTTTCTTTATATCCAGCTAAATTTTTTTTCTCTGCAACTTTCATCTCTTGTTCCTAGTCCTGCCAACTCAGGCCACGCAAAACAAATCTGATCTCTTTTCTATGTGAAGAAAATTATTTTGTCTTTTCCAAGTGTGTTTGGTTTGATCACTCTTCCCCAACCACCTTTCCACACACAATCACCACTTTGGTCCCTGTCACAGCTCTCCTTTTTACCGTGCTGCTTCTTACTTAAAGAATTGGCATAGTTCTCCAAAATCGCCTTTTTAAAATGTTTGGCTCTCTGCATAGTGTGCAGCATATGGCTTCATGAAGGTATGCCTGAAAAGTATGAAACTGAAGAGCTTTTGTGACTCCAGGTTTCATGCCATTCCCTTCATGACATTTCAGGGTAATTCTGCCCCTCTGAGCATTTTTTTCTTCAGTGTTGCCCTTTAGCTTTCAGGATGTGGCAGAACTCTCAATCTTGAGGTCTGGTCATTCTTTCAGTCAGAAAACCATAGCCAGAAGGTGGTCCTAATGTGAAGTATTGCCAGTTTTCATCTGCTGAATAGAGGCCCAATGTAACTTAGGTTTCCAAAGTCATTCAGCGGTACTTTATACAATGACTTACAGCATAATAGCGAAAAACAACATTGAAAGACTTGAACAGCTATGGTCTGTGTAATCAACCATGACTCCAAATGATCAATGAAGGGATGAATAGGCATTTATCAAGCTAAACAAATGTGCAAAGCCTTTGCTAAGCTCTGGGGATATAAATAGAAAACAAGAGAGTTTGTTTTAAAAGAAAGTCCCCACCCTCAATGAGGCATATATTCTAATGGGGGAAGACAGCACATGCAGAAGGTCTCAGCTGCTAGCACAGGCAGAAGCCCATGGTTTTTCAGGCACAGTAGTAAAGCAGATAGTGATGCCTTTTCTTTCATGACATTTCCGTTATCAAGACCATAAGAAGTTTATGATATTGAATCATTTGACAATGCCAAGAACTTTGGTGGCAAGAATTTTGTTTTCCAGGTCTTCAGTAGCTAAGGTTGCTGAGGAGACAGAGGCTACGGCACCTGCAGAATAAATTGCCATGCCTCATGGTCTCAAGGGTGGCATCCCTGGACCGTGGCCACAAGGCCCAGACTGGAAGCAGAGCTATTGTCTAAGCTCTAGGGGCGTTCTGGTGTTACTAAGGATTCTCACGTTGATCTGCCCATCATTGGCAGTTTAGGAGTAGATCTAAGTAAAAGCAGCCCTTTCTCTTCGAGGGGTACTCCCCTCAATTAAGATGCAGTATTGAAAGCAGGACCAGTTATGAGGAGACCCCTGTTATTCTCTGGGTTCTGGGCTGTCTCCACCAGAGTCTGAGGAGAGGTAACATCTGACCTGCTTTGCACACGCCCTGTGGGTGAGCTAAAACTTGAATTCTTGGCAGACGATGAATGTATTCCATAAAAGCCATACAATGTCCCTAGAAGTTTTGGGAGCAGGTGGTTGAGGGTGAAATCATGGCCTGTGACTTCATCAATTTAGAGAGTTCCTCCCTCTGATGCGGATCAGCAACTGCTCTCTAACCCTGAG